GTTTTATATTTAAATGAAACGAAGCAACTTTCCTATGGCCTAAGCAACGATTCTATCATTCTTGCATATACTTAGAGCAAAGTGCATCTCAATATTTTTGCTAATAAAACTTTCTGTATACCTTTGCCTCTAAATTTCGGTATTCGTTTTGTTATGCGCAAAAATGATAGGTAATTATAGGATTTGTACATTCAGTTGCGGTAAAATCTCAATCTTGAATTCGTTTTCACGATATTTAAAATTTTAGATATTGCAAGAGCTATATCAACAAGCAAGATTTGGCAAACATGAGATAAACAAGAACTCCCAGTTGAAATCAAATAGTATCTTCAGCAGACACTTGATCACAACGGCTCTATCCCATCTGCAGACGGTCATCTTGTGAAGGCTGAACATAGAGAGCTTACGAAGCCCGAAACGGTTGTGCCAGCTCCCATTACTTCCACTGATCGGAACACAACTGGGGACAGTGACGACTATGTCAAGGTTTGAATTAGATTATTTTTATAGACGAGATTAGTATAGAACAATTAAAAGGTATTCTCATTTTTTTATTTGAATAGGTGAATGTAGATCCGATCTATGATATGCCTCCTCAAAATGGAAAAGCTATGAGTCCCGAAGAGGCAAGGAAGTTGCAGGTATGTCATAAAGTAATTATCCACAGGAACAAAACTTTCATTTGTTCAACAGAATTGAGCAAAAGTTGGGCCAATTGCACTCAACTATTTTTGTTTTGAATGCGAGCATTAACATATTTTTGGGTGCTAGTTTGGCGAAAAGCCAACTTTGCAATGTATGTTTGGTTTTTTGCTCGTAAAATGTTGTTTCTATTTCTTATGTTTCACATAAAAAATGAATTTAAGCTTTGTCCTATTGAAATATTGTCGTGAAGTAATATTTTCATGTATGACGCTCTCAAACGCTGTCTAAAAATGTTCCTGTGGTTTTAGTTCGACCTGAAAAACCACTGTATATTGAATTTAACACTCTGTAAAAGAGAAGATGAACAAAACTTCGGGCAAGTCGTTTGGGAATTGGTTTAGAGGCGATGCAAAAGTATGTTAGATTTATATCTACAAGAGATACAATGAAAATTAGAAGGGCAGAAAACTTTTAGAACTTAGATTATGCGACCTCAGAGGCGTTCCTCACATTGTCTTGTTAAGAATATAGAAAGAAAACTCTGTTTTTCGTACTATTGAATTTGCCGCAACAAAAACTCAAAGGCATAAGAAAACTGACTTTTTTCCAAAAATGTGCAGATTGATTTAACTTTTTTAATTTGGAGAAACTTTCCCAATTAGACATCAAACCGAACAGGTTTGTGTTGTTTTGAATCTTTATTACTGAAACAATATCTCGTCTACCCGTAAGACAGGCGTAAAACTGTATTATTCTGTAATGATAAGAAAGCAGTTTGCAAATTTGTGAAACTTTTTGTGAAGAGCAAGTTTTTGCTAATGCTATTACAAACGCTATTCATCATCATTTTTGTTTGCTTAAACCCATCAATATGAACAGGTGCTCCTTCCATTAAATCTCTCAAAAGGTAGTCCACTGGTTCTTAGTCTGATAGATGATAGCGATCCACCAGCCATTCAACTTGTTAATTGAAATCACAGTTTAGGATGGTCTACTAAATAGGATAAGAAAACGACTGAAATAAAAATTTGAAAGCCCGGAATGACCTCGATTATAGTTGACTTGTGTATCAATGTTTCAAACCTAATAAACCTTACCTTTTGCTATATTTTTGGTAGCTTGAATCTGCTCGTTGCGGAGCCAAAATTCTGACAACCATCATTTGCCATATCGATTTCAGGATAGCGATCATTT